TCTTGTGGCCAATCATATTATTGTTCTTGTATCATGTGATGCCTGCAGTCGCCACTATGTGGCACTGCTGTTCCATGATTCAGCAGTGTTGGAAGAACCTTTTGTTGCTGAGTGGGGGGTTATCACAAGGGAAGTGGACCGAGCCATAAAGTCCAGTCAACCACAGGTGGTGATGTAGATCAAAAGGAATGGATGGCTCTGGGGTTCCTTGTGAGAAGGTAGATTGGGAGATCTCCCATTGTTTCCAGGGAGTAGAGGTGTTTTAGAAAGTTGGTGTGAAGAGAATTTGGGGAAATTCTCTTTGAATGTGTGGGACTATGTGACTGTGTGTGCTCGGGAAAGCCATTTGGTGTCTTATCATCTTCCTGCTGCAGACCCAACCAAATGTGAAAACCACTGAAATCTAACACTGTTTTCTGTTTTCAACAGGAGTCGTCGATTCTGGACGAGTACAACATAAACTGGACACAGAAGTTAGGGGCTGGGATCAGTGGACCTGTCAGGTGAGTTCACATGTCCCTGCAGAGACAATCTGACTATTCACAGGGTAGCTGTGGATTAATCACGATTAATTGTGATTATTAACAATTAATCATGATTAATCAGATGATGAATCTGGAAAAACACCAGAACAAGTAAGTTTGGTTTGAAGACATGAAATACAAAGATATCATTATAATTACTTCTGCTGAATAACTACACATAATCCATGAAAAAACTCAGGAAATGTCCTTTAGGTGAAACAATGTGCAAACAAGCGAACCATGTTCTGAGAAGCAGCAATCAGACGGAAGATTTTAGTGAATGCCTGAGGTTCCATGTCATCAATAAACCTCTGTCTCCCTCCTTTTGCCGTCTCCTCTCAGATCATTTCCACTCAAAGACGATGGCAGTGATATTAGAAAAGAAATCACAAAACTCAAACACATAATTCCATGAACTGTAACTGGTGTTTATTTTATGCATGAACTGAAATGAACTCACGTAGTGAATCCAAAGGATTTGTACTCAAATCAAAATATTTAATTGTGCTGGAAACTGAATTGGCAACGTTTAGTCCACTGGTGTTTATATGCTCTCTAAAAAGTCCAGACCAGGACTCAGTGATGAGTACTTGTCTGTTGTTATCTCTCCATATGAATTTCTTCTGTGAGTCCCTGGACCTTATCAGTACTGTATCAACACAACAGTGCTGAATGTCCGTAGTAGTACTGTAGCTGTTCCACTGGCTCTCTCTGAGCTCATAGGAGATTCCGTCTGCAGTGGCAGCCCGTTATTTACTAAAGTTAGCAACGTGGCCTTAGGTGAAAGGAATATTGAAAATTTGACTTCAGCTTTTCAGACATAACTACTCGAAAATATCCTTTTATAACAGTTTTCCTTCTCATTGAATCTGTTTATTTCTTTGACTTGGCAATGACTTGGAATTTGGAATTCACTCAGTTATTGGCTGTGATTCATTAGGTACACGTTGCTTTCCACTGACGTGAACTTTGGCAACTGCTGAATGTTTCTGAGACTATAAAGTTTAATAGTATAATCTGAGTTTAAGGGCCAGACGTTACCGCTTCAGAGTGTATATTGGCATTGTTGCTGCTCACAGGAGGGGAAACAGGAGGAAATTAGCTTGTCAGAAGATTTAAATGTAGGAAAGGTGGGGAGGTTATATTTCTATTTGTCCTGGCACTGGAATTTTTTGTCCCTGGTTTGTTGTGTCAGGGAAGCAACTGTTATGTGAACAGTAAAATGTGATCTCCAGTGGCCCCTTGGACCAAACTTTCACAGTTGGGAGTGAAGTACCTATGAGATTCTTGAACACATTGATCTCATGCCGAGCCAGGAAGAAAATCAGTGGCGTTTACACTTATATGCTTATTTTGCCAGCAGAGGTTTTAGCAGTTTTAACCAGAAACTCATTTTTACATAGGACTTGCGAAACGTACGGAAATGAGCTTGTCAGAAGATTTAAATGTAGGAAAGGTGGGGAGGTAATATTTCTATTTCACCACCAGAGTGTGAAATGTAGTAAAAACTAGGGGTGTGCCATCTAAGGGACCTCACGATTTGATTCGATTACAATTCAGGGTGCTACGATTCGATTATTGAATGATTATCACGATATTAACTATTATCAATGCATCTTTTATCCCTCACTTTGTGGCTACTTCATACTTTTTCACAGGGTATATTTGTCAGTATTTATTAATTAAGGTGACCAAACAAATGTGTCTCCATTATCTTTTATTCATGAGAAATCACCAATTGATCCAACAGCATGGAACCAACAGGAAAAAAGTGTACCTGTAGCAGCAGCCTATACAACAAAAAGCTGCTCTTATACACATATGAAAATACAGGCTGGTGGTCTGCCTGCTGGGCATTGCTGCCTGACGCACCTTCACCAGTGCCTCTGTGCTGGCGTGCTCATCTGAACACCTCCCTGGGCCCCACTAGTGCCTGAGTGTCAGTAGTGGTGCCAACTTACCTCAAGGGTGATTTCCTTGGTATGATCACGGGGTGGGGATTAGGGCTGTGGCAGGGGAATCATTGGGGATCATCCTTATACTTACCTGCAGGGTATGGGAAGGGGCTGAGGTAAGGGATGGGGTGGAATGGGGTGGCTTACTGGACCATGGCTTTTCCTGATTAGTTGGTTGTTTTTTATAAATTGACTATCTTACTGTAAGACACATCTTCAGTAGTGGACCTTGGGGTCATCGAGTGTTTCGGCCATTATCACTAGACACTCTCCCCCTAGGAAGGCCCCGCTGGGGTTGATCATGCCCCAGGGTGTGTCTTAGGGTGTGTCTTAATTAATTAGGTTTGTAACTAGATTCCTAACTTGATTGTAGCTAGATTCCCAACTTAGATTGGTGGCCTTTTTTGCGCTAGAGTTACAGTTTTTTATTTAGTTATGCCTATTGTGTTTAATATTAGTAAATTTTTGTTGAAGTGAATGGGTCACGCTTTGTTTGGCCCCCAACTCACCTCTTTCCTCCTGAGCCACAGCCAAAAGCTGCCCTTCTCTGCCTCTTCTGCCAGTTCCCTAATGGCTTTCCTGCATCCTGCTCCTGTGCATCCCATGGCTCGGAGCAGGCGTACAGTTGAGGACCTGACGAAGCCCCTGCATCCTACTTCTATGGGGCGCATGATGGTTTTCCAGCCAGCCTCTCTGCATTCTGCTGCCAAGTCTGCGTACTTTGCATGTTTCCGCTCGTTGGCAGGCCTCCATGCCTTCCTCCCATGGGACGGTAAGCCCCACCATCAGAATGGTCCTGCAGGAAGCTGAGCCTGGCCTGGGGGATCTTCCATATATCAGTCACAACACAACCAGTTAACTGGTTACCTTTCCAAAACATTTACTGTCAAAAACAATACTTTTCAACTATATTATTCAACAGCACAAAAAAACAACTTTGGTGAAATGTATTCTACGTTGTATGTAAAACACATAACATAAAGTGCCTTTATAAATAAATAAGACATTTTAACCAAAATCCTGAGTGGTTTTCAATTTTGCTTTAAAACAATATTCTACACCATCAGCTGGAATTTGGGTTTTTGAATACATAGTCGATGGATAAAAGAATACAGTGAATTAAATCATGGCAGGGCATGGGCTCGTCTCACTCATTAAGTGCACTGTTACCGTGACATATGACTTTGCAGCAACTGAAGTCCATACATTACACGTTAGAGCTATCGGACACACTTTCTTCAGTGATTTCAGTACTTTGGTTTTGGTCGCATTGTAGAGTTTGGAAACTGCTTTCCGGGCAAAGTACTTCCGCTTCGGGAGTTTGTATCTCGGCTCCAGCGACCGCGTCTCGACGTAAATCCTTAGCGATAAAAGTTGCGATGGACGATGAGATTCGTTTCGCCCTTTCAGAGCTGCATGGAAGTTTTGACAATCTTTCTTCTATTGGTCGCTGGTTAGCAGGAACAACCGGTGGATTTTTGTCATCCCCCAACCGAACTGTAGCAGAGTTAACTGCCGCCATATTCTTTTGGTCCGTTCCTTCAGGTGTCCCGGCGGCACGCGCGACTTCCACCACCAGGTTGTGTTTCTGTCGTTTTGTTATTATGAAAAAAAAATGTTTTTGAACATTTATGAATCGTAATCGAATAGTTACGTGTCGCATCGAGATTAATCTAATAATCGAGGAATTGGCACACCCCTAGTAAGAACATACTCCTTTTTCAATCAATCTCCAAGTACTACCTTTTAATTCTCACAGATTGAGAGCAGTAAGAGAAGCTAGGGTGAGTTTAATCAGGTCAACAGTCCATCACTGGACCAGCGAGCAGCAGTTAGCAACCATTCACCTCCTCAAACACAAGCATATGCATTGGGCCAGTTCACATTCACCACCTACTTCAAGTACTTGGTCCAGTCTGTCTGTCCTTCAGAACTGTTTTAGTTCTTAGAAACATCAAATAAACCCAATGCTGGAAACATTTCTCAGAGACTTGGATCTACATGTAAATAATAACAACAAACTGATTTGTGGTGATTGCACAGGTCATTGAGGTCGTCTTGTTCAATTATACCATTGTTGCTAACATATTTCTATGACTGTTTCCTTTTAATTAAACTCAACTTAAAAGCAAGTTGGATTTGAATAAAAAAGGTTTGTTAGGCATCAGGAGAATTTACTTAAGCAAAGTGAATTTCTCACTTATTTTGGCTTATTGAGTGTCACAAAATAGCAGTTGGCTCGTGGGATATTTCGGTGGTTTCTTGTTTTGAGTACATTGTCTGCTTTGACACGTTTCAATTGTTTGTCGTTCCTTGTTTAGAGTTTGTGTGAAGAAGTTGACTCAGGAACAGCTGGCTCTGAAGATCCTCATCGATCGCCCCAAGGCTAGAAACGAGGTGAGTGGAAATCCTGCCACAGTTGTTAATTAAGCCCGTCATCTCTGCTTGGAAATAAGCTTTGCTCTGTGTGTTGGTCCATATTCATTCTTGTTTTTTTTTTTTTTTTTTCAAATTTCTATGTCGGTGTGCTTGCTGTGCTTCTTCTGTCTGTTTGGGCTTCTTTCTTGATGACACTGCAGTGAACAGTTTGTCTCACAGCCTCCTGTGTCGTTAACAGCCTTCTGTTTTGATCAAGCAGCGTAAGTAGCTGTTACGCTGTGACACATGCAGTCAAAACAAACAACATCTACTGGTTTCACACGAGTTCTGAACACTGAGCTGCTGTCATCACGGCCACAAATGTTTGGTTTCACAACATTTATTGTTAAGCACATGGGTGATTTAAAAAAAAAAATGGATTTGTCCACTGCTGTCTCATGTTCTACACAGGTGCGTCTCCACATGATGTGTGCCCATCATCCAAACATTGTGCAAATCTTGGAGGTGTATGCCAACAGTGTCCAGTTTCCACACGAGTCCAGTCCAAGGTAAAAAAAACGATTAATGAATATTAATCATACACATCTTGTGCATTTAAAAAACATTTTTAAAAGTCACTTGTTTATGCACAGAGCGAGGCTCCTGATCGTCATGGAGATGATGAAAGGAGGCGAGCTGTTCCACAGAATCAGTCAGCACAGGCACTTTACTGAGAAGATGGCCAGCCAGGTCACCAAACAGGTTAGTGATGACACACATGACAGAGACATAGGCATTTGTGTCACCTGAATGACCTTTTTGAAAAAAAAAAGTTAAAATGTCAGCCGTTTTATCTAGAAAGTAAGTTAGTACAGTTAGTTCTGTTAGGTCAGTTGTTTATTCCAACGATGGATAGCTATTCTATTCTTTGTTCTTTTCTTAGTGTTTTATATCTCTATAAAATATTATATATTATATACTGTATGTCACCTGTGCAGTAACATATGAGTAAGTAAAGAGGAAGCAAAGTGGAGATGAAGTTAAATGTGGGCTGATGAAACTACTTTTAACCACATCCACCTTCAGAAAAGTCTGACTTCTTTCTGTTCCTCCTGCAGATCAGTCAAGCCCTGAAACACTGTCACTCCTTAAATATTGCACATTGTGACTTGAAGCCAGAGAACCTGCTCTTCAAGGATAACTCTTTAGTAAGTGAATATAACAGTGTAGTACAAAGAACGATGTGTCTGCACCTCGGCAACTTCTAAATCTTTCTAGAATTTCTCAGTACATTAGTCACAAAGAGAAAACTGTTAAGTCTGGCTGTTTAGACAAAACAGCTTCACTGGCTTAACTACAAATGTAGACAAAGTGGAGTTCGTCCTTTACAGACTCTTGTCGAAATGATAAATTAGATTTGGAAGTATCTGGTCTCCATTTATAGCAAGGTTTTTTTTAAATCCATCTTTACTCTGGCAGCAGCTTTAATGGCATCTCAGATTTATTGCACATAAGAAACTCTGTCAAGCAAAACTCATTAAAGGCAGCCAAATTTGAGGAAAGTGAAGAGTTTTGCAGTAAATTACTGAAATATCTTTTATGGCTTTTCCTCCACAGGATGCCCCTGTGAAGTTATGTGACTTTGGCTTTGCCAAAATAGATCAGGGAGACCTGATGACGCCTCAGTTCACTCCCTATTACGTAGCACCTCAGGTAAAACAAACACAAACATATTAGCTAATAAAAGAGGTCTGTGCCGTGATGAACATTTGATCATAGTTTTCCTTTAGGTACTTGAGGCTCAAAGAAGACACCAGAAGGAAAAGTCTGGACTCATACCTACCTCGCCCACTCCTTATACCTACAACAAGGTGAATCGCATGTCCGAGCAACACCTTCAAGCCTTGTTTCTCAGATTTTCACCAGACTTTTGATGTTAATTGTTTGTTTTTTCCTCCATCAGAGCTGTGACCTGTGGTCTCTGGGTGTAATCATCTACGTCATGTTGTGTGGCTACCCTCCGTTCTACTCCAAACACCACAGCCGCACCATCCCTAAAGACATGAGGAAGAAGATCATGATGGGAAGCTTCGACTTCCCTGAAGATGAGTGGAGTCAGATCTCAGAAATGGCCAAGGATATTGTTCGCAAGTAAGTTTGTTGTTTGTCATCGTCAGTCAAACAGTGGAATTGAGAAACCAAAAATGTTTGAATGAAATTAGATTCAAATTTATTGTTGCTGCTCATCACAGGTACACAGCAACAAAATGCAGACTGCATCTAAGCATAGGGTCAAAAGCAGTAGCTGCTCATTTGAATGACAGAAATCACATTGTTGGTATTAGTCATTTCTTTCCAGTGTTGATGATTTGTAGATTTCCACACTTTTGTCTTGCTTTCATATTAGTCTTAAACCCAACTCCATATGATTTGCAGTTTCTTTTTCCCAATAATGTCCCGCCCATCCGTCTTCAGGCTGCTGAAGGTGAAACCGGAGGAGAGACTGACTATTGAAGGAGCCCTGGCTCATCCCGGGCTAAACTGCACTGAGGCCATGGACAACGTGCTGCCTTCTGCCCAGATGATGATGGACAAAGTGAGCAAATTGTGTCACATGAGAAAAATGAGGAAAGGGAATTATCTGTGTCATACACATTGGGAGTAGCAGAAAGAATTGCAGACTATTTACGTGAGGAGCAGCAAACTTGTCTGCTCGAATGCTTTGCTTGTTTTCAGGTTGGACTAGTAGTCTGGCACCAAAGGTCTTATCCAGAGTCTTCAGTTGTTTTGTGATGTTTAGCCAAGCTATATTGAACACAATAGGATTAATTTAAGAAAAAGCATAAGAATACCCTAGTAGTTTTCTCTGTTAAGTTTCCATATCAATTTATACTGTTATTGAATGCTGTTATTGTGTTGTACTAAAAGGAAAAGTGTTGAAGACAGATGTGCAGCCTTTGACCTTTGTGTCCTTCTGTCTCAGGCTGTGGTAGCAGGTATCCAGCAGGCCCACGCAGAGCAGCTGGCCAACATGAGAATCCAGGATCTGAACATCACCCTGAAGCCACTCAACTCTGTCAACAACCCAATCCTCAGAAAGACTACTAGGGTATTCTTATGCTTTTTCTGAAATTAATCCTTTTTCTTTTTTAAAAATAAAGGTTGAGTTTGAGAAAATGAAACTAAATAAAATGTGATCTGGTGTCCACGTCACAGCCCAAAGCCAAGTGACGGTATCTTCATCCATGACTCAGAGAACGGAGCTGAAGACTCCAACGTAGCGCTCGAAAAAATTACGAGATGTGATTGCACAGTGTATTCTACCACAGGCAGGTGAGTCAAAGCGGTGTGAACTTTGTCGACTTACAATTTTGTCAAACAGTACTGAAGTCCATTTATGGATATGAAAACTGAATAGAAATATTTTTAGGGGTTCATGATGATGAAAATCAGTTTATTTATTATTGTAGTTTGTTTAATATTCAAGGTCCTTGAATTGCCATTTCCTTCTGTCAGGAAACTTCCTCCGTTAGATAGGACTGTAAAAAAATGCTGTTAGTTCATACCCCAGTTTCCCAACACAAAGAATTTCAAATAAAGATCAAATAAAGATCTGATCAAATAAAGAATCAAATATGAGATCTCAAAGTTTTAAAAGTTTTACTTGCAGCAAGGAGTGCAGAACAATGGTTACATTCAGAACTGCACTGAGGAACTCCTCAGTGCTCAAAGCTTAAATACAGTTTTTTTACACACACAAACTTCAATGGTCAGTACCTTAACCCTTTACAGTCATGTGGTGTTCTCGCGTAACTTCTGAGCACTGATTGGTAAAGACTGCTTCAAACAAGGATTCTCCACCAATAGGAGCTATGTGGAAATGCTGTAGTTAATCAATTCAGATAAGACCATTCAGTTTGGATGTTTTTCTCTCTTTGTCTTTTGTTGATCTTCCGTCGGTCTCCTTATTTGGGCAAAGAACCCAGTTCAGGCCGGTTCTTTGTCCTATCCATTCAGTGCTGTCCATATCATATTGTTATGTAATCCACCAGCATGCACACCTGTCTTCAACACTTTTCCTTTTAGTACCACACAATAACAGTATTCAATAACAGTATAAATTGATATGGAAACTTAACATAATTAATATATTGTAAAGATTGAATAAATGTATTTACAACATCTTAACACCTTCATTTCATGTTTCACATGTTTGGTCTGACAATACAAATCCTTAAATCCGTGACTGCAGAGGTCTAAAGAAATATTCTCTGCCATTTCTGGTGAGAAACAAACGACAAACAAAGCAGCTAAGAGGAACTTTTCCTTTATCCAGGAGAGAATGAGGATGAAAAGCTGAAAGAGGTGATGCACGAAGCCTGGAGGTTCAACCGAGACTGTAAACTGCTGAGAAAAGGTCTGCAGAGACTCAGCTGGGACGGTCAGTACCACCACACTTTCTTTGTTCTTCAGCAGTGGCCTAAAGTCTCAAAGAACTGAAGACCGATGATAAAAGTTGTTTTCACTTCACATCTGGTCTGGTTGTTGTTGGTTGTTTCATTGATCCAGGTCTTGACATCACATTTCTCTCTGCAGGTCGAGTCTTTTCAGATAAGGTGGATCGTTTGAAGTTGGCGGAAATAGTCAAACAGGCCATCGAGGAGAAAACCAACCTTCAACAGTCTCATTAGCAAATGCTGAATTTTTTTTTCTATCTTCTTTTTTTATATTGTCTAATATTTGACCCTTTTTAACCCACATTTGTGAAGGATGCTTTTTGGAAAAAGACACTTGCAAAGAAAAGGTTAATTTTTTTTTTTTTTTGCAAAGAAGGCAGAAAATAGGACAAATGATGGGTTTTTCTGTGAGGCATTTTTTATGAGCTGTATGTCTAAGACCCAATTTATTTTATCCCTATTTTTTTTTCTTTTAACAATCCTAATAATTTTATTTATTGAAAACATATTTTATATTTGCAGCCTGGCTGTGTGCTTTAAAGTTGAAAAGCTGTTCTTCCACACACTTTCTGAATCTCAGAATGCGTTTAAATGATACAAATACTGGACTTTTGTTTGTGCAAACTTCCTTCACCCTGAAGAAAAGGGTAGAGAGAAACCAGAGCTGAACTTCCTGTGCAATGAACCTCATGAGGCCTCAGAAGGGTTATTTTTGTCCCAAAACACCTTACTTCAATTTGCTGGATTTTGTTCAGATCACATAATAATACTCATGATAAAAAAGATGTTAAATGTTAACTTCCATCTTTTTTTTTTACACCACAAGATGAGAATGTCATAAAAAGCTGTAGATTGTTCTTGTTTTATTCAAAACATTATAATGAAAATACATGTGTTTTTAACCTAGAGTTTTCCTCTTAATTCACTAAGAGTGACAGTGAGTCTTCTCCCAATGCTCCTCAGGATTAACTGAGCTGATCCTGACCCTTCCCCTACTGATGCTCCTGCTCCCTCGTTTTTCCCCACTGGGTTTTTACCTCATTGTTTCTGTTCTTTACTGCCACCTACTGGGTCTTTTTCCATTGCTGAACTTGTATTTACACCCTGAAACTACAAGTACACTTGCAAGAAAAAATAGAGAACAAGAAGTAAATAGAGGCAGAGGGCAGCATCACTGCACATGGAAACACTAGACTTACAAAAGAAGATTGATCCGTTTAAAGAACATTACTGTATGATGACTAATGACGGGCCAACACATGACTAATGAACATGCTGCCTAACATGATGATAACAGTTAAATGTTAATACATGTACTGACATTTAAAATAAAATAAAAGCAACCATTAATATAATTCAGTGCTGCAGGGTTTTGTCCAAAGCTAAGTTTGTATCCAATATTTATTGGCTTTGAGGACTCTGACGATGGTGTATTTGAGTGTGCAGCAGATATGCAATGGTTTTAGTTGTTAATTCTGTTGTTTTTGTGTTTATTTTGGTGTATTTATGTAAAAAAATGTTTTTTTTTTGTTCTCTCGGGGAGCCATTTTTTCCTGTTTACTTAACTGCTTTTCTTACATATATGAAATTATTCTAATATTTTAATTTTAATGAAAAGGTATGCAATTAATAGGATTCTGATGCCAAGGTTTTTACTTTACAGAAAAAACAAATGCTCGCCTCTGGAAGATGAAGTATTAGCATGGATGTGGAAGAATACCTACAAATGTCATTTTCACTATAATGAATGTCTTACTGAATAAGAAAGGCTTCCCAGACCTAGACACAAGTAACTGATGCAAAGACAACCTTCCATCTCTCAACCTACAGTTGCTTTAGTTTCTGTTTAAACATTTCTTCATGTAAAGTTAGTAAAAGAATTTGTGTCTAAATTTAGCCTTTGAAGGATTTACATGAATCATCTCTACATCATTTTAGCTACTTTTTGGATAACATTAGGTAATTTCAAAGCTGAAACCTTTGGTTATCTTCCGGTCCTTAATTGTTGAGCCCTGATTTAAAATCTTGATTTTTTTTTTTTTTTAATAACCAGAACTGGAAGTGTGTGCACACTTCTGTGAAGAAGTGGTTGCTCTTCAGGAGGCCTGGGGTGAATCAAATCAGCTTCATCTGCTCGTCAGATCTGAAGAACATTTAATAAATTATCTTTCTTTAAAAACATGGTCCCACAGGAATAACATTAAACCAAAGCGTTCTTTCTGCAGAAATACAATTGTTCGTAGCCTCATTTGTTGTAATCCAAACCTGAACTTTGGTCAAATCTGTGGGCCACGTTTCTAATACTAATAATCCAGAAATACACAATGATTAATGCCAAGGCAGAGTGATGGGGTTAGGTTAAATTTGTCCATGTTGTGATGGGAAGACCGACTCTTTATTGATTCGATTCTTTGACTCTCGAACAGTAAAATGAACGAATCTTGAACTAATTATTTCATTCGTTTTACAGCAGGTGGCGCTTTAGCCCTATTGTGGGCGTTGTAAAGAAGGCTGCGGTTCTCCGACACTAAATACTGAAGGCAACATGGTTTGCTTCCGCTGACAAAGTCTACAAAGTACACAAAATGCCATAAGCAATTAAAACCATG